CATTTACACTCTGAGCGCCTTGTATCTGACTGATGTTGTTCACATGGAGCTTGAGATGTGACACTAACTTTTGGGGAGAAAAGCCCGATTTAATCCGTAATAACATCCGTGTCGTCCACGTTTCCCTCCCAAACACTTCGCCTCTATTCCCCCGTCGCGGCGGTGGGCGGGAGAAACCGTCTGAAGTCGCCGCTTGACTCGTCCAGACGCACATCAATCAATCAAAGTGACACTACGTCAACCGAAGCGCTCTCGATTCGACATATTTACTGCGTAACTCGACGGAAACTCGATTTTCTTGCGCTCACGGTGCTGTGGAGCTGCCACGGTTCCGGCTCCGGTCCGTTTTGTGGGCTTTTATCGACTCTGATTATTGTTTTAGGGGAGAAAGGGACGGTTGCAGCGATAGAATAGGAGGGGGCGTGGCCTTTGGGTTAAGAAATCCTATCCATTGTTACTCTACGCGCTAGGAGAACACCTCTGCCGAGCCTCTGGCCAATCAGAGACCACCGACCTCATGAAGACCCCGCCCACAAGCCTATATTAAAGGCTCGGCCGTCAGAAGCATTGGCCACTGGCACAATATAATACTGATTGATCCGCTAACCGAGACGAGGGGATTTACTTTATTCAACCTTTCATTTCAGCCGTCCTTTATTTTATTCTACTAAACAATGGCAGACACACAGGTCGACTCCGGCTCGGATATCTCTGCCAAGGTAAGCCGCCGCACACCTCCATTCGCGGGGCCGTGTCTCCGCGGAGCCCCCTTACAAGAATAAAGCTCTCCAGGCTCTAACCTACATTTAAAACCTCTCCGTCGTCGCTTCGCGCTCGCTCGGACTCTGTGGAGTCTGAGGTGGAGAAGAAAAGTCGGTGTTCGCGTCTTTCCCCCTGAACTCTGTGTGTAGAGGGAAGTGGGGGGTCTCGGCACCGCATCACGGGCAGCGTTAAAGCGCCGCGGCTCATTGTCCGGAGCGTCCCGGTCTGCGCGGGTCTTTGTTTCTGCCAGCAGCTCGGTTCTCCTGCTGCTCCACGCGCACATCCAAGCGGGACCCGGACACCGAGCAGCTCCGGTCCCCCGGCTCGCTCCCCGCGGGGTTTTCGGGCTCGTTGTGAGCGCCGGGGCGCCGCGCACATCTATCCCGCATCTCGGGCTCTTAACGCGTATAGATCGAGGGGAGGTTCCGTTCCCGGTGCAGGGACTCGGTCGGGTCGCATTACCGGGAGCGGTGACGGAGTGAGCGGCCGGTGGATGCGTGGACGCGGACCTCCAGCCCGGGGTTTGCTCCGTTTGAATGGAGGACAGCGCGTCAGGCGGTGCGTAGTCCTCCGCTGAACTTTCGGTTCTGCACTTTTCCTCCCGCCTTTTTTATTTCTTATTTCCGTGAGCCCGTTTGTTAACGCCACCGATCTGCCTGCACCGTCTGACCCCGTTTGTTTACCGACTCCGGAAGGTCGGCGGCCGCCGCTGCTCCAGCCTCAGCTGCTCCGGTCTCCGCTCCCGGAGCGCGTGAGCGGCTGTGAGCGCGGGGCTTCCGCTTTGCTTTGGTGTTTTCGGGGCTTGTTTGCAGGGCGCGCTTCGGTCTCAGGGGAAACTTTTCTTTCTTTTTTTGTAATGCAGCCACTTCTTTCTGTGTGTGTGTGTGTGTGTGTGTGTGTGTGCGTGAGCGCGCGTGGCCGGGCTGTGGAGGTGTGATGTGACGTTGCTGGTTTTCCCCTCTTTCTGCGGGTTTTTCCTCCGTTTAAACGTTTGAGCTGCTTTTGTTGTGAAAACGCGAGTTTTTGTGCGCGTGGACTTTGGATCAGATCGGGTAAAAGTTTAATCGCCCCCGCGGGGGGAGTTGTGGCTCCGCGGACCGCGATCATCCCGGGAATCAGAGCAGCAGCGAGCCCGATAATTCTGAGCGATTGTAACAAATGTCCATTTGGAGGAGGTGGTGAAGGTGTAGAGGGGAAAAGTTGGACAGGCATTAGCGCGGGTAATCCGGGGAGCCTGTTCACTATTTTTAGTTGTGGAGCGTTTTTACGCACAGGCGCGTTTTTACGCGCAGCGCGCGGCCAGGCTGCTCTCCTCCTGCCGCTTAACAGCTTAATGGATTTCAACCAATAAGATTATGGAGAGCAATTAATCAATAACAGCCTACGTGTGGATGCGTGAGGCGCGCGTGTGGCGGGGATAATAGGCTATGAGGGAACTAAACGAGGAAGAGAAGCGGCGTTAGTGCGCGCTGAGCTCGAGCACGGAGGCGGAAGGTGCCGTGTCTTCGCTCGCCTGCCATGTGTCGTCTTCTATTGTCCTTTCCTGCCTCCGTTACAACGAGCAGTAGCAGCAGCGTGCATCGCGCTCTCTCCGCCGCCTCCTCCTCCTCCTCCATCACCGACCCCTCCTCCTGCTCCCTCCCTGCTCCTGCGCCCTCCTGTGTTATTTTAAACGGGGTGCATCCTGGGTATTGCAGTGCCTCTCCCGGGCGTGTCTCGTGACATATGGCGGCGACAGCGGCCCATAGAAGACTACAATACCCAGAATGCCCCGCGGGCCACATCAAAGTATCAGATTACAACACATTAGAGGGGATGGAGTGGGAGGAGAGGGAAGAGGTGGGGGGAGGATCTGCGGAGACCAATATGGTGTTTAAATAGGAAGGCAGAAAAACGTGCAGCTCCCAGCAAGCACTGGGACGCTGCTAAGTAGGCCAGTAGGTAGAAGGGCAGGTAGCGGTGGGCGGAGTCTAAACCCAGCAGCGCGTTTTGCTGGGCAGATGAGCAGGTTCAGTTTCTGATGTTTGCTTCTGTTTGTTTCCAGGACCTGAAAGAGAAGAAGCTGGTGGAGGAGAAGGAGAACGGCAAAGACGCCGCCACCAATGGGAAGGTGAGCGCCATCGCCGCCGCCGCAGCAGCTCTCTGCACAGAGTCGGACATTTTTAACCATTTTTGTATTTTCCAGGAGAATGAGGAGAACGGTGAGCCCGAGGTAGATGACGAGGAGGACGAGGAGGTGGACGAGGAAGAAGAGGAAGATGATGGAGAAGGTAGCTTGAAGGCTTATTTGCCTTTTAAAAAAAAAAATAAAGAACTCTTGTTAGTCTTTCTCACCTTTCAACTTCTGTCCTGTAGGTGATGAGGAAGATGAGGAGGAGGACGACGACGAGATTGAGGGTGGCACAAAACGGGCAGCTGAGGATGACGAGGACGACGACGAGGTGAGGCAGCGGCGCTTAAACGCCCTTAAATCGAGCGTCGCCGTGACACCCAGCAGGCGCCGGTCTAACCCGCCACCGTCTTCTCTTCTTTCAGGACGACGTCGAAACCAAGAAGCAGAAAACCGACGATGACGATTGATGCGTTTCCCCCGCGCCATCCTGCTGAACCACTTCCTGATTCTTCACCTCTGACCATTTTTCTATGTCGCAGGTGGAGGGGCTGGAGGACTGATTTAAAGGAAAAAATAATAATAATAAAAAAAATCCAACATGGTCATTAGCAAGTAGAGTTCAACAAACACCCGCCACGCCCACACCCACCCGAGCTCCCCTCGACGCTGCGAGACAAATTTTCTAGAGGAACCCGCCACCGCATCGACGACGCAGAAATCCGGCTTCTCTTCAGCAACAACACAAAAGGAGAATTTGTTTGTATTTTTATTTACATTTTATATTTTTGTACATATTGTTAGGAGAGGGGAGGGGGGCAGTTTCTCTCTCGGCAGCGATCCCGTCAGACCAAATCGGTGCTTCTCTAACGAAAGATTTTACTTGGTTGACCATGTTACGATATCTCAACAGATCTTAGAAAAACGTGTAAAAAAATAAAATGAATAAAAACATGAAAGACAACCTCTTAAGCCGTTGAACTCAGAGCATTCCAGTAAATTTAATGTATGTACTTTAGCTGTACCATAACTAGTTTGTTTGTATGGGAGGGTAAGGCCAAAGAAAAGAGCCTCTTTTCTTTTTCCTTTCTTTTGGTTTTTTTTCTTTTGGTTTTGTTTTTGTCAGCGACTTTTTGTTTTATGACGGCCTGTTTTGATGTATGTGCAAAGTTTGTTGTTTGACAATAAACCGGACTTTTATTTTGTGAGTTGTACTTTGTATCTCTGCCCCTTTTTATTTGTGCTTTGCTCTCCTGTGAGGAAGAGGAAGCAGTGCAGGTAAACCTGAGGTCTGCTTTTACTTTAGGGTCACAACAGCGAGGAGGTGGGTCCAGCACATCTTATTGGACATTTTACACTCATTACATCCATATAATTCATATTACATAAAAGTTAAGGTTTGGTACTAAAATAAACTGGCGGTTCCAAAAGGCTAAATGTGGTTTATTTCTTTTGGATTTTTCTCTTCTTTTTGTCTATATTGCAAACATGCAAACAGAAGCAGTTCTGATAGTTGAAAGTTGTAAGAATAACATAATGTGTCACATAAATAAGGGTTTTGCATGAATTTAAAGTCTTAACATTAAAATAAAGCATATTAAGGTCTGAGAAGCTGATCTGTATTCTAATAAATTTCCTCTTTAGAGGTTGTGTTTAAGGTCCGTGGGAAAAATCATTGCCAATAAGTTTAATTTTGTAAGTTAGTCTGTTAGTAAATTTATTTGGACCAATGTCCAGGTAAGTGCACTTCTACAATTTCAAGGTCTTTGGTTTGAAAATGTAAAAAGTGCAGAAAAAGAGTAAAAAGTTGGAGAAATTCCTGATTCAGGATCTTCCAGTGAGGCGGTGGAAAACTGCACAATAAGAAGTGAGAGCTTAAGCTCAAAGTTGTGTTTTCAGATTCAGTGTTTTGTCTAAAATCCAAAGATTCTCTTCATACTGCTGAGCAGTTTTTTATATTTAAGGTCTTAATGCATTATTTAAACACGACGAGTCCTCAACGTTGTGTTTTTAAAGCTTCATATAATTCATAGAACAGTTTGGGGACCTGATGAATACAAGAACAAGCAGCACACTCACTCACAGCTTCAAATATTTAATCACTGCTTGCACAATGAATGTGTCGTCTGTGAAACTCCAGTTTAAATCTTTCTCTGGTTTTATTCAGACACAGAAATCTGCATCGTTGAAAGTTGGTGCTCCTAAAGAAATAAGAAAGTCATATTTCAGCTTTGCGGCAGATTAGCAGAACATTTTGTGGCAGAAAAGGTAAAATATTATGAATCTGTTATCAAAGGAAGCAGACAGAGCTCCTCTAATGATCCGGGCTACAGAGTTTCCCAGTTTATGGAAAAGACAACATTCCTGCTGAGCGTGGAAAATCAAAACTTGTTATTCTTCCTTCAATTTATCAAACTGCTCCCTAAAACAGCTCAGTGATATTTGCACACGTAACAGAAACCCGACACTTTTCAATATTCATTAGACAACATTAAAAACATGAACATGAATACAACAGCACCCCTAGAGGCGAGCTCTGGTACTGCACGGTTTATAAGGCTTTTAAAAAGCTGCACTTCCTGTTCCACATCCAGCAAACAGAATATACAAATTCACATTAAAAAGAAAACAAGCTCATTCTGACTCATCATCCAAATCTCACACAAACCTAACAAAAAGTTCTTCAGACATTTCTGAGCTTTTTGTGTTATATTTGTGGTTTTCTTGCTTTAACAAGGCTGCAGTTAACATGTCCTCAGATGTCGCTGTGAGCTCTTCCCATTCTCAGAACTTTAGATTAACCATTTATGGTGTTAGTCTGAATTTTCACTAAATGAGTTACAGCACAAGCTGATTTCTAATCCTCTGCTCAGATTTTACTCTTGCAGTCTGCCCTCCGTGCATTTAGCTCCTGATGTGAACCCAGATGAGTCGCATGGAAACATCATAAACTCTGATATGATGCGCTTCCTTAGACAGTCTTTAGTCATCTTCATTTTAAAGTTTGATACATTTATTTTACAGCATCAGCCGAGCAGAAAGGGAATCACGTTTGTGTCAAAGCCTGTGAAAAAATATTAATAACCACCAAAACGACAACATGAATGGACCAGCTTGTATAATGAGTGCTTGTAATTTTCACACTTCTGTCAATATTTGGGTATTTTGGGGTATTTGAAATCGAGCAAAGGGCCAGAGCACGTCTCCCAGGCTTTCTCTCACAGCTGTTAATGAAGCTGCTGCTGTGTGTTTGATCATATGAGTTTCTCTTTACAGGAAGGATCAAGAAGGAGAGGACTCTGAGACGTCAGCTTGCATCTACTGCATCTACGTTCTTTCACATCTCCAGCTCCAGATACCAACTCAGCCCAAACCAGCTGTAGAGTGTGAAGTCTTAGTTTAAACATGGAGGTCAAAATGATCTAAGACGGCCTAAAATGAACCAGAAGATGTAGAAATGTTTATTAAAATTATGATTACTTCTTTGATTCTTGTTTTTTTGTTTTGGATGTTACAGATTTTTCCAGATTCACATCCTCACCACAGACTGTATTTAAAAGATGGCCGTCACCAGTTAGTACAAGTAACCTCACAGCGGTAATATGATTGGTCAGATCATTGAATTAAACAGGCTCCAACAGCATAAACATGGTGCAGAGGTCTAGTTCAGGTGAAGCTAGCCGACAGCTAGCAGCTCCAGCCACCTGTGTCACCATCCACCTGTCAGTCAAATAGGCCACACCCCTAATAATGGTGAAAAAGTTTTTTTATGAGGCTGTAAACATGTCTACTTCTGCTCTAATATTAAAACGGTAAACATAGAAGTCTATGGAGCCTCTGGTGGACATTACAGGAACTGCAGCTTTTTGACACTTAGATTTGTTGGACTGCAGGTATAAAAACTTTTAGGAAGGAGAACAGGCTCCAGTCCACCGGGCACAGACTGCTACACACAGCGCTGCAGTGGAAGCACATTTTCTCATGTGTGCTGATGCTGTCAGTATATGAAGCTGATAGCACTCGTGTACCTGTGCACAGCAGCTGCAGCTGTCTGCCGTCAGTGTGTTACAGCGAGTCGAACATGACGGAGCCTGAAGGACGGAGGAGGATCTGATCTGTGTTCAGTCATGTCAGCCGCAGCCTGCAGTGCAGAGATCCACACAGGAATGTCAAAAACACAGCGAGCGGCTTCATTACACCCACAGGATCACAGAAACCATGGCAACGTGTGTGTGTGTGGGGGGGGGGCACGGACAGGTGAGCTCCACAGGTGTGAATCATTAGCAGTGTTTAAGGGTGTTCCTTAATTTTTGTGTTTAAGTAAAATGTCTTATAAAATCAGTGAATTTTTAAAAATCCGTTACAAAAACACATTGTTCACTATTTGCTTTATGAAGACATGTTTTAGAAATATTTATTATTCATGAATTCTATTTTTGACATATGTAAGTTATCATTTTTATTATATTTATAGGTGTTAGGGCTGCACATTTTTACATTTCATATATTTTTCGCACTCTCGCTGCACTTTATTCTTCTTTATCATATTATATTAAAACTTTATTTTCTTGTAAATTGTGACATTTTTTTAAATTCCCTTAAATTTTCCATAAATGATAATCATGACTTTTTTACTCTATTCTACTCTATTTAGTTTGATTTTATTTTGTTTACTCCAGCGCCCCCTTCAGGAGAACAGCCCCTGCGTTCAGCGTAAATGACCTTAAATAGAATTAGTTGTAAATATCTGAGACTGCGCGTCTTTAAGGACCGCAGTAAACACCAGTCACACCAGTGAGGCTGGTCCCAGTCGTCCTGCAGGTCGGTGAGAGTCAGCGGCTCTCTAACCGGATCAAGTCTGTGAGCTGAAAACCTGAAATCTCTTCTTACCTCAGCAGGTGGTCTGACGCAGCAGAGCAGCAGCACCCCCGCAGCTCTCACATGGTTCGTCCCACACAGGAGCAGAGCAGAGGGAACGGCCCACCTCTGCAGCAGGGAGGGGGGAGGACAGGAAGCTGTGAGGAGGTTACGCACTTTTACCTGAATGTGTCAGACACGGAATTACACTGAAATAAGTGTTTCGGGTGGTTTTCTTTTACTTTTTAAAAAAACACTTTAAACTGTGAAGTGACGGCGGCCGGGGGGGGGGGCTGCTGCAGGGCGACAGATGCTGGAGGAGAGATAAGACGAGATCACAGGCGGAAATATTTAACCTCCTGTTTATCCAGCAGTGCAGGAAGCCGTCAGATTATTCAAGTAGTAATACCGCAAAGTACAAGTACTCCTTCTGTGCAAACCCTGCCCAGAGATGAATTTTCTTAATTATAGATTGTTAATATTCTCATTTGAATAATTCTTAGCTGATTATTTGATTTGTAAAAAATGAAAAATGAGAAAAATTCTCGTCAAGGTCAAAAATCCAAAATTATTTCCAAGAAAAGAGAAAAATATTTGAATTAAAATGTTATGAAATATTTATTCATGTTGTAGTTAAAGCTGTAGTAGGATGATTAGGAGGTCACATTAAATGTAGTGTCGTCTGCTGCCTTCTGTCAGAAGCTCTAAATCAGTAAAGAAGTAAAGCTTCTGCAAGCAGCTCAAACTGTTTTCCTCCAAAACTTCAAACTTTGTTTTGCTGCCTGATGATGCATCACAGCTGCAGCTGCAGCTGCTGCAGCTGGAGCCGGTCTGCATGCACAGTGGTTCCCAACATATGGGTCGGAGCCCTCAGTAGGGTCACCTGACGAATGTGGAGGTTGTTTTATGAGAGGAAAGAAGACAAAAAGCTGCCGTGGTCTTTTTTCTGAGATTTTTATTTTGCATTTAAAGAGTGTTTGAAAATAAGAAGCTGTTATGGAGCTCCAGAATATTCTTGAACACCCATCCATTCATTTTATTTTTATTTTCATCTTCTTTAGGAATAAAAATCAGTCTTCAGGATGTTCAACACAATGTCTTAAATTTCTGTTGAGTTCTTTTAGATTCATTTTTATGATACCTACTGTAATTCAGCTATATTGGTTGATGAATTTTCTAACTCTTTTATTTCAACATGCGCCTCGATTTTAAACACTGTGGCTCCATTAAGGGCTAAATGCTTCAAGCCCACTTACCAACCATGGCTGAATGAATCCACTCGCACCCTCAGGCGTGAACGTCGCCGAGCCGAGAGGAAATGGAAAAGACGAACTTCAAGTGTCCCTGGAAATCCTACATAACTGCCGGTCAAAATATCAGAAGACTGACAAAACTGCAAAAGCTTCTTATTGTTGAACTTATTGCTAACAACAGTCACAAGCCTCAAGTTCTGTTTAAAATCTTTAATTCAGTTATTAATCCCTGAGGGATGCCTCCCCGGCTCTCTGTGAAGAATTCTTACATTACTTTATAGATAAAATTTCAGCACTGAGGGCACCATATCTACCAGCAGTTAACCAAACCCCAGTTTCTGAATGCTCTGGGGTTTTTCAACAGTTTGAGCCCGTACCTTTTTCGACTCTGAAAGAAATAATTGATCCTATGAGAAGCTCTAATACGCTTCCTTCCCGCATTATTAAGGAAGCTCTGACTACTATCGATCCCTCTATCTTACTTCTAACGAACTCTTCACTGTCATCAGGCTGTGCTCCGACTGCCTTCAAACACACAACTGTACAACCTGTAATCAAGAAAAGCAACGCTGACCCCAACAGTCCTTCAACCTACAGGCCGATCTCTTCCTTTCATGTCTAAAATTTTAGAAAAAATAGTTCACCAGCAACTTCAGTCCTTAGAGACACATGGTGTCAGTGACAAATTTCAATCTGAATTCAAACCGTCACAGAACCGAGACAGCCTTATTGAGTTTTTAATGATCTCCTCCCAGCTGCCGATTTTGGGCGCCCTGTGGCTCTAGTCTTATTAGATCAAACTTCTGCTTTCGATATGCTGGACCATAATATTCTCCTAACAAGGCTAGAACATGTAGTTGGCCTTGAAGGTAATGTTCTATCATGGTTTAAATCGTATCTCTCAGACAGATCCTTCTCTGTCACCATGGGGAAATACTTTTCCTCTTCTGCCCCTGTTGATTGTGGTGTGCCTCAGGGGTCCGTATTAAGCCCCACTCTGTTCTCCCTGTACATGCTACCCTTGGGACTCATCTTTAAAAAACATAACATCTCCTATCACTACTATGCAGATGATATCCAAATTTACTTTCCTCTAAATTTGGATGCTTCGTCTCGGCTCTCGCATTTGTTCGACTATCTGCGGGAGGTTAAAGACCGACTATCCCAGAACTCGCTTATCTTAAATGAAAGCAAAACAGAAATGATTGTTTTTGATAGCCACGTTCCCCTGGGCCAGCTAACTGATACAATGGGGTCTTTTGCCAGCCACCTTTCTCATTCTGCCAGAAACCTCAGAGAGCTCATGGATAGTTCTTTTAAATGAAACAAGCAGGTATCCACTGTGCTAAAAAAAACAGCTTCCATCAATTACGCCAAATTTCCACATAAAGAACTTGAAAAACGTATCCATCCCTTCATCACTTCTAGACTATTGCAACTCTCCTTACCTGGGCCTCCAACTCTCCCTCCTTCAGCACCTGCAGTCAGTCCAAAATGCGGCAGCACGCCTCTTAACCGGCACCAGAAGGCATGAGCACATCACCCCTGTCCTCGCTAACCTACACTGGCTTCCCATCAAATATCGCATTGATTTAAAAATCCTTCTGCTCCCTTTTAAAATGTAAATAAATAATAAATAAATAACCCGGCCCTTAGCTACTTAACTGATGTCCTAAATCCAACTGCTCCTAATGCAACCAAGGTCTCGTTTAAAAACCTGAGGTGACCTTGCATTTACCATCATTACCCCTAGACTGGAATGATCTCCCAGTCAAAATCCGTACTTCAGAATCAGTTCAATCGTTCAAATCCTGTTTAAAAACACACTTGTTTAACTTAACTTTTGAAACGAGTTAGTTTGACTTTCATTCAGCCTGCACTACACCATATAAATGCAATTTTAAGTATAATTGTACTATTTCTTCTTTGTTCTGTCTGCATTGCAGTTTTATTGTGAAGCACTTTGATGTACACTAGTCTTTTAAATGTGCCATATAAATAAACTTTGACTTGACTTATGATGATATAAAGCTGAGCTGTGATTTCTGATGCTGAGTGATGCTGATTGGTTGAGCACTCTCACTCATTCTGCGTTTTTACAGATGTTGTTCAGGGTCAAACAGGTTCCAAACCAGCTCAAGTATCTCTGTGAATCCTCTAAAACTGAGGAAAAGAGCTCCAGTGCTTCCTTCATTCCCTCCTTTAGGATACATGGAAGCTTCCCTACTGCTGCATCTTTCATCTTGTGCCAAAAGGTGCTAACATGCAGAAATGACTTCAAATTAAAACTGAAATTTGTTGTTTCTGAAACTCATTCAGGGACCTACAAGTGTGTGTGTGTGTGTGTGTGTGTGTGTGTGTGTGTGTGTGTGTGTGTGTGTGTGTGTGTTGTTCACAGATGAGTCCTGACTTGACATCAGATCTCAGCTGCAGGCTGAAAACATGAAGTCTGACCGTCTATGGGTTACAAACATCAGCTCCCTGCTGATTGGCTCTCCACACTCCCGCCTGACCATAAACTATCCAATCAGATCTGTGCATGAGGAATTTGAACTGCAGGTTCACCTCGTTTTATTTGGAGGTTATGCTGCTTTTAGCCAATCAGAGAGCAGCATGGGCATTTACTTTCATTCACTTTGATTCATTGAAATACTACAAAAGTACTGAAGTACTACAACTATTACAGTACTGTGATCACTACAGTTATTACTGCTGCAGCAGCTCAGCTATGAATCAGCTGATGCTTCTCTGTATAAGTAATCAGGTCTTTAAGTGTGTTTGGTGTTTTTTGTGTCTGCAGTTTTTAACCTTTCTCATGAGTCATGTGATCAACATGACTTCTTTAACCAGGTACAGAGTATTCGGATACTTTACTTATGTAAAAGTATCACTGAAGCAGCATGAAAATACTTGTGTAAGAGTCCTGACAGCTCTCAGGCTCTGTTTTCTCATCTTTCCTTTTTTATTTTGTCTCATCCGGATCCTCCCCTTCCTGCCTTTGTGATCCCGCTCGTCCATCTAATATCTAAATCTGCACGTTTACCTGTAACTATCTGTCGCCCATCTTTTACTCACTTCAGTTCAGTTCGAGGCAACTGTCCCAACCATGAAAGCAAAGAAGCCGTCCTCATCTCTAACCTGAGTTTTACCTGCAGCCTGAATTACAAAGGAAAAAAAATCCTGTGATTTATTTTCCACATTGCTTTAGTTCAGCTATCAGGCCAAGAGGTCACCTGACAGGTTATCAGCCCTATAAGTCAACCCAGGGTTTATCAATCCAGCTAGGAAAGAGGCGGGGCCTGCAGCATCCGACCAATCAGAAACATGAACAGGTCTGAGTGACTGATTTTAACAATGAGCATAAAATTGGAATATTAGAGAATTATAAAGATGTTAAATATGTGATACAGCCTGAAAGTAACACAGCTGCTGCAGACAAAGCAGCACTGAGGGCTGTATTATATATGATATTTAAATAAATCCAGTTAAAGCGACAAAGGCTGTAAATAAAGAAACCAGCTGAGTGTGTCGCTATCACGACTCTGTCATTCAGCTCCGAACATGCACCTGGTCCCAGGAGACCGGTCTAGCTCTAGATTCAGGCTTCATTTAGTTTTAGTCTCAGGTTAAATTTGAACATTAACAGAAAGTAGATTTTAGAATTAAAGTCTTTGTTTAAAGCTTAAACTTTTACTTCCAGACAAGCGTAAAATGTCTAAAACAAAAAGAGTGGATCAAACTCGATGAGTCAACCTGCTGTTAGAGGCTCGGATGCAGGAAGATCTGATTCTAGCTGTTTATTCTGCGTTAGTGAGTCAGCTGTAACCCCGACAGGGTTAAACAATAAAGAACTAAAGTCAGAATTCAAACCAGTGAGCAGGCTTGCTCAGAGAGTTTAAATAAAGCCAACGACCAGAAGCCTCGAGGTCCCTGTTTCAGGATTATCTCGCAGTGTGACGCTTCACAGAAGGATGGAGGAACTTAAAGTAGTTTGCATGAGAAAGGCGAAGATTAAAGACAC